CAGCAAGTCTGCTAGACAAGCCACTGTCTCATGAAGCTTTAGCTCCACTCACTGGCTGGCTATAAATTAAACTCCAGGAAGCCAGCACAGCTCAGCAAAGCTTCCAGGCAGCCCCAAGGCACTGCTTCAAAAAGGAACTTCAGCTTATGTTTCAGCAGAGCCCCTTGAAGGGAGTCACGTCTTTCTTAAGAAGGGGGTTGGCCCAAATGCCCATCGATGATAGACTGGATTGGGAAAATGTGGCACATATACACCATGGAATATTATGCAGCAATCAGAAATGATGAGTTTGTGTCGTTTATAGGGACATGGATGAATCTGGAGAACATCATTCTCAGCAAACTGACACAAGAACAGAAAATGAAACACCGCATATTCTCACTCATAGGCGGGTGATGAAAAATGAGAACACATGGACACAAAGAGGGGAGTACTAAACACTGGGGTCTATAAGGGGAAAGGGGGAGGGCCAGTGGGAGGGGGAGGTGGGGAGGGATTGCCAGGGGAGAAATACCAAATGTGGGTGAAGGGGAGAAAGCAAACAAAACACACTGCCCTGTGTGTACCTATGCAACTGTATTGCATGCTCTGCACATGTACCCCAAAACCTAAAATGCAATAAAAAAAAAAAGAAGGGGGTTGGCTAGGAAAAGGATTAATATGGCCCCACTGAAGATGGGTGGTCCACGTCTCACTTTGCCTGTCTCCTTGTCTTCTCCTTCCATTCCTGAGACCCCAGCAGTCTAGAAGAGAATGCATCTCACTTCTGAGCAGCCACTATAGTTAGGCTCACAGACAGATACAGGTTTGAAGTTTATGCCATTTCAGATAACCTTTTTTTTTTTTTTTTTTTTAGAAAGAAAGCTACAAATTTCGGAATACAAAGTAGATTTGGTGACTTGAAAGACATGGTTCCTGGCACACACCCTCTTTGGTCAGGTGTTTTTCATATGTCATCTCAGAATACAGGGATTGGGCTCTAATTCTGACTCTAGCGTCTACTAGCTGATGGAAAAATAACCTCTCAGGGCCTCAATTTTCTCCTCTACAAAATCTATCCTTAGGTAAAGAATTGTCATTAATAAGGCAAAGAGGATCACAAAGGGCTGCACTGAGGCTTGGATTTAGTTTCCATTCTTAATAGACAGACCATCCACCTGGAAACACAATCTTTCATCATCTCTGCCTTCCGAGAGAGAACCACTGCGGCAAAACAGAGTGTGAGGCCACCAAGTCTGTGGCTCTCAACTTTTCTTTGCATGAGGCCACCAGGAGAGCTTTAAAAATATATCAGTGACAAAGTCCCTCCCCCAGAGATTCTGATTTAATTGGTCTGGGTGTAATGCCCAGGCATCGGCATTTTTTTTTAACTCTCCAGGTGATTTTACTGTGCAGCCATAGTTGAAATCTGCTGCACCAAAGCATTGTTTCCCTAGCAGCTGGCTTCCTCCTGACCCACCTCTGTGCCAGCTAGTTCAAATAAGGCCCATCAGTGGGAATGTAAATGAGTACAGCTGCTGTAGAAAACAGTGTGGAGGTTTCTCTAAAAAAAAAAAAAAAAATAGAACTACCATATGATCCAGCACCACTACTGGATATTTAACCAGAGGAAAGGAAATCAGTATATTGAAAAGATATCTGCACCCCTATGTCCCCATGTTTATTCCAGCATTATTCACAATGGCCAAGATATGGAATCAGTCTAAGTGTCCATCAGCAGATGAACAGATAAATAAATTGTGTGGAAATCTTAAGAGTTCATGAATCTGTGGCAAAAAAAGAAAATTAGAAAAGAAATTGTGGTACACATACACAATGGAATACCATTCAGCCATAAAAAAGAATGAAATCCTGTCATTCACAGAAACCTGGATGGGCCTGGAGGACACTATGTTGAGTGAAATAAGTCTGGCACAGAAAGCTGTATACCACATGATATGGTTTGGCTGTGTCCCCACCCAAATCTCATCTTGAACTTTAGCTCCCATGATTTCCATGTGTTATGGAAGGGGCACAGTGAGAGATAATTGAATCATGGGGGCAGTTCCCCCATACTGTCCTGGTATTGAATATGTCCTACGAGATCTGATAGTGTTATAAGGGGTTTCTCCTTTCACTTGATTCTTATTCTCTCTTGCCTGCCACCATGTAAGACATGGCTTTCACCTTCCACCATGATTGTGAGGCCTCCCCAGCCACATGCAACTGTAAGTCCATTAAACCTTTTTTTCTTTATAAATTACCCAGTCTCAGGTATATCTTTATCAGTGGTGTGAAAATGGAGTAACACACATGTTCTCACTCATAAGTGGGAGCTAAAAAGAAAATTAAGCTCACAGAAGTACAGACTAGAATTGTAGTTATTAGAGGATGGAAAGGGTGGGGCAAGGGGAGGATAGGAAGATGTTGGTTGACAGATAATAATTTACAGCTAGATGGGAAGAATGAGCTCTTGTGTTCTGCAGCAAGGTAGGGTGATTATTGTTAACAATGATTTAGTATATAATTTCAAAAAGCTAGAGGAGAGGAGTTTGAATATTCCCAACACAAAGAGATGGATATGCTAGCTATCCATATTTCATCATTACACATTGTATGCATGCTTCAAAATATCACTCATCCCATAAATATCATTACCTGTCAACTAAAGATAAAAGGAGAAAAATGGGGTCCATATGAGAGGATAGCAATGAGAGTGACAACCTCAAAAACAATATTCCAACATTTGTAGAGTGTGTTATAGTCACAGAGCATTTGCACAGACCCAGCCTCATTGGTTTTCACAGGAAGGCTGAGAGGCAGATACTACTTCTATGATCCTCCTTTTATAATTGAGGGATGAGAGGCTCCGAGGCAGGACTGAAATACAGAAGATCATGCCCATAAGCCAGCAGGGCAAATGTCTCAGGGTTAGGAAGGAAAATGCTGTAAGTTACTGAAAAGAGCATCCTAAGGAGTCAGAAGACCTGAGTTTCTAGTTCTGGGAGTTTGGCCTTAGGCAAGTCACATGCTATCTCTGTGAGGCACTTGGCCCATTTATAACCCAAAGGGTCTGATACCTTGAGCTCTAAACTCCCTTCTACTGAAGTCTAGGCCTGGGTTAGTCACTGAAGTGTGACTTTCAAAACAGTAACTTCTCTGAGCCTCAAATCCTAATTCCCCACCTGTCAAATCGAGAGAGGGCAATAAATTTTTAAAAGCAAGATCAGAGAGTGTAGTGAAAGCCATATGCTCCCTCTCCTTAGGATTTTGTCAGCCAATAAAACACCTCTTGGGTGTAATTGGCAGAATCTGTTGCTCTCTACAGTTTCATTGGCTTCTCCTCACAGGAGCAAAAATGATTCATCTAGTAGGTGAAAAAGTAAGAGGCAAATATTCAGTCATCCACCTATCTTTATTCTGGAGGGAGTGAAATTCTACAGCTCTCTTCCCTTGAGGACCTTCCTGTCCCTGGCTCCCTGCACAAACCTAGTATGAGGCAGCCACATTTCTCTACTCAGCTGGCCATAGGCTTCACCCTTCCCAAATGCAGATCCCAACATCTAGCTTCAGCAGGGGTTTCAGGGGAGTACGAGGAAGGGCATTTAGGTATACATCCAAGACATGAGATCCAATCCAAGCAATGACCCTGAAATTGTAATTCCTGAATATATGTCTCAAAGGATCCAGGATTCAAATGAAAGATTTGATTAACCACTAAAATCCCAAATTAAAATTTTCCTCATATATCTCCAAAGAGTTGTTCTAAGGATTCAAAAGATAATGAATAAAAAGTCTTTGCTTCCCTATCACATCTCCAGAAAAAAAGGTGAATTTCTCAGAAGCCAAGGCAACCAAGCTCCAAGGCAAAATGAAGAATACTATTTATTCTGGGGATTCTCTTAGAAAGGCAATCTCATGTTTTAATCATGAGTTTCAGTAATTGCTTAATTAGCATGGCATTTTTACCTCCCTGGCCTAATGCTGAGCCTCAGAATACTAATGGAAATTTTCCTTCAGCCGAATTCACTCCTTTCACAAAGATGATCAACAAGGTTTTGTCATTTGGTTTGTTTTTTGGTAAAGGGAGAGGGAAGTACAAGAGAACCCCACCAAATATGAAAATCAAAGCCAGAGTGAAGCTATGGACTGTAAGGAACGAGGCAAGGTGAAGGGTAGCAGAGAAGTTAAAGAATATCCAGCTTTAGAACCAAGCAGGCTGAGCCTGAATCCTCGCTCTGCACTACCTCTCCCCGGGTCCGTGGGGGGCTCTGTTTTTTCAGCCATAAAATGAAGATAGCATAGTATCTTCTTTTCTCCAGTGTTGTGAAGACAAGATACTATGTATCCAGCATCAAGTGAAGTGCCTAGAACATGTTACCCATTCATTTAGCAACTGTTTGAATTTTCAATTAGCCACTTACTAATTGCTGGGTAATATGTCTGTCCTTTCTGAGCTTCAATTTCTTTTTTGAAAAACAGAAAAAATAAAATGTCTACTTGAATGGTTGTCAAAGAACTGGAAAGCGACCAACATTATACCTAGCACTTAGAAGGTACTTCATAAAGAGCTATTATTTAAGTGATCATACACTTTAAGGAAATTTAATATGTCTTCATCAGGAAACATTTTAGAATGGGCTGTTTAAAATCTTCTGCTCAACAAGAAGCTGTTCAAGAGAAGAAACTGTGTCTCTTTTCATCTTTACACTCCCAGTGCCTGATACATTAGACTCAGCAAAGTATTATTTGGGAGAACTTAGATGAAATCCCTAGCCCATTCCTTAATCTTGACTTTGTGGGTCAGCTTTGCCAAATTTTCAGCCAGTCAAGAATCACTCTTGAAAATAGTGTTTCTTAAGCTCCTGTATAACTGTGATGGTTAATTTTACATGTCAACTAGACTGTGCAACAGGGTTCCCAGATTAAGCATTATTTTCTAGGTATGTTTGTGAGAGTGTCTCTGGCTAAGATTAGCATATGAATTGGGAGACTCAGTAAAATAGATTGTCCTCCCTGGTGTGGCTATTTATCCAATCCATTGAAGGCCTGAATAGAACAAAAAGGGCAAAGAAAAAGGAATTCACCCCTTTTGCTTCCTGTCTGCCTGTTTAAGCTAGGTCATTGGTCTTCTCCTGCCCATGGACTGGGATGTGATAGGTCCCTCCCAGTTCTCAGGTCTTCTGGCTCAGACTGGAATTATACCACTGACTACACTGACTATCCTGCAGTTTACAGATGGCAGATTATGGGACTTCTCAGCCTCAGGTGAGCAAATTCCTCATAATAAATCCGTGTGTGTGTGTGTGTGTGTGTGTGTGTGTACTCCAAATGCGATTAGAGATAAGGTGGTTTCATCTTGCAATATATTGACAAGGAAAAACCCCAGACCCTTCATTAAGCTCACAGTGTACCCTCTGCCTGCAGCTTCCTCCTGCCTCCCTTTTTCCATCCTGTAGCTGCTCCTTCCTTCATACTTCAACCTCAAAAGATTCTTTCCTGGTCATTCTATGAGCTCATGCATGCTCACTGTCCTCAGAACTTACAAAATCATGGAATGACAAAGTCGTATGAGTATTTTAAAGGTCATCTAAAGGAAACCACCCATCAGAGATACAATAATGCTCTCTACAAACACTCCTTCTGAGTGTTCATACAGACTGGCTTGGACACAATGCATGATAAGAAATTCACCCCTCTATTAGGCCCTCCAATTTTTCATTGGTTAGCTCTGTTAGAAACTTACATTTAACCCAGACCTATCTCTCTGTGCCTTCTACCCCGTTCTTGTTTGTACCTTTGCCTTTTGCAGGTTCACAGCATGAGCTGACTCTCCTTTCAGTATCACAAATCTTAAACTTACCTTATTGTGCATGTATATCCTATCCCCACAACCATATTAAAAGCCTCTAACAATCAGTCTCCATGTTTCATGTCCTTGTGCCCAATAGGTGCTTAATAAATACATACTTAATAAATGCTGGAAACACTTCTTTGCTATGTTGGCTATTTTCTCTTGGTCTAGACTCATCCCAGTGGGGTGCCCGTAAACAATTTCTTCCTCTGTTCAGGTGCTTAACAGCCGACTCACGTAATGCTGAGTAAATGGAAAGAGAAAAGGAAGGAGGAAGACACATTTTTTAAAATTCCATCTTCAGGTGCACCAGGAGGCAATTTTCTTTTGCAGGCACATTATTTGCAACCCTGACAGTCACACATCAAAGTAAGGAACGATCTAAGTGCTGTCCATTCCCTCCCCATATGCATGGGAGATCACACTATGTCCTGGGGAGCTATGAACAAATGGAAAGAAGTAGAATATATCCCTAATTGCTGTTTGCTTGGATTATTCTGAAAGTGGTCAGAGGGCTTTCCACTTTGCTGAGCACTTTATACAATACATTTGAATTTTCACTGAATATTTAAATGTTTGGTTCATATTCAAGTGTTTGACAGCTGGTTGAGTTTTTTTTAAACCACGGAAGATAAAGGGCCCCACACTTCCTGTAGAGTATTGAAGAAATTGTTTGACTAATAGTGCCTAGGCAAAGAAATGCAAAACTGGTCAGATTTTAAAATATTCCAATTTTTTTAAATAAGAAGGATAAGCATTTTGTTTGTTTTGCATGAGGGTTGGGGAAGTAATGTGATTGGAGACTGTATTCATTAAAATTATGCAAATAATAGACATCTGATTATATCACTTTGGAAGAGAATATTAAAAGGCAGTTTTCCTTTTGTCTCAGTTTGAATCAAAGCCCCAGAGTTAAGAAAAAAAGATGCCAGCTACAGCCACACTATAAATCAAGGCTCTAGGTAGGCAAAGAATGGAATCCAAAATAAGTCTTGCAAATCTTAATCCAGTAAGCTCAGTCAGCCAATTGAGGAGTGATTAGGAAACCATCAGTGAATTCTGGGGCATTTCCAAGTGCAGGGAAGCTTCAGGAGAAATACTTGGAGAGCTTGGAACTTGTGAGAATACAAAGATGGTAAACTGAAACATGCCTAAAAACAAAATCCAAAAACAAGAGTCTTGCCAGCCTAATGGCTTAGTGAATAGTGCAGCTGTTTTGGAAAGAACTGCACTCTTGAAGTTTGGTGACAGAAGTTTGGCAACACCCTCACAGACACACCCAGGACACACACCCCACAGACACACACCTTCTCCTGCAGTTTGCCTGATGCCTCCTCCAACCCTAAGCCTCCTTCAAAGGGGTTTCATCCAAAATGACCACTTGAGGTATGTATTAGTCAGGGTTCTCTAGAGGGACAAAACTAATTGGATAGATACATATATAATGGGAGAGTTTATTAAGTATTAATTCACAGAATCGAAAGGTCCCACAACAGGCCATCTGCAAGCTGACAGGCAGGAGAGCCAGTCCAAGTCCCAAAACTGAAGAACTTGGAGTCCGATGTTCAAGGGCAGGAAGCATCTAGCACAGAAGAAAGATGTAGGCTGGAAGCCAAGGCCAGTCTAGTCTTTTCACATTTCTTTTCTGCCTGTTTTATATTCTAGCCATGCTGGCAGCTGATTAGATGATGCCCTTTCAGACTAAGGGTGGGTCTGCCCTTCCCAGCCCACTGACTCAGATGTTAATCTTTTTTGGCAACACCCTCACAGACACACCCATGATCAACACTTTGCATCCTTCAATCCAATCAAGTTGACACTCAGTATTAAAGCAGAAAAGGGCTAACCATGAACTGGTGGAAGTCAGTGTTTGAGAACAAGGGTTGATCATCAGTGCCCAGCCACAGCAGCACTGCAGTCAAAAAGGAAACTGGAGGTGCATCAGAGAAACCTTTCAGAAGAAGAACAGCGGCATCCTTTCCCTGCCTCTGACCCTGGAGGAGCCAAACATAGCACATTTAGTGGGTAAGGGAGAGGAGAAAAGCAATATGAAGAAGTAGATGACCATGCTCCTTCCTTAATGTAAGTTCAAAGACCATCTCGGGTCTGGGCTAAGGGAAGAAAAGAATTTCATAATCAGATGAAAACATGAAGTTGACATTAGACTGAACTAGACATTTATAGCATAAAAAAGAGATAGACAATTCATTTATATCTAAGATGGATGAGAAGGGTGATGCTACCTAGCCAAATCTCATTTGGAATCTTGAAAAAAATGACTCAATGGAGCAAGTTTAACAGAAGCTGGTGAGAAAGAAAAATTGCTTTATGCCTGTAACCACCGCCAAGTTCAACTGGGAAAATGTGTTAGCTACAAGTGTCTTGCTTTAAAAAATAAATAAATAGGCCAGGTGCAGTGGCTCACGCCTGTAATCCCAGCACTTTGGGAGGCTGAGGTGGGTGGATCACGAGGTCAAGAGATCAAGACCATCCTGGTCAACATGGTAAAACCCCATCTCTACTAAAACTACAAAATTAGCTGGGCATGGTGGTGTGTTCCTGTAGTCCCAGCTACTTGGGAGACTGAGCAGGAGAATTGCTTGAACCCAGGAGGCGGAGGTTGCAGTGAGCCAAGATCATGCCGTTGCACTCCAGCCTGGGTAACAAGAGCAAAACTCCATCTCAAAAAATAAATAAATAAAATAACTACAAGACTGCTTTTAAGATAAAACCCCAAATCTTCATGTGGTATATGTTTGTATATCTGGTCCCTGCCAATCTTTTGAACTCCCTATCATACTACCCCCACTTCCCACCCACTCAGTAACTCCAGCCACATAGATTTCTGGAAGCTTCTAAAAATATAAGCTGCTTATTACCTCAGGCACATATTTTTCTCTTTGCCTTTGAATTGCTTGTGTCTTCTCATCCTCATGTGGCTAATTCCTCCTTATTCTTGGAGTGCTTTGGTTGTAAGCAACAGAAACTAGCAGAAAGCAAATTCACTGGAAGGGTAGAAGGTAGCTCACACAATCAAAGACTAAAGAAACAATTCCTTTAAAACACAGCTGGAAGACAACAAAAGGTAAGGGAACCCAAGGAATGAAGATGGAAGGAAATGATGGGCAGGCTCTTCCAGAAGGTGAATCATCCTCAGCTGTTTTTGTTTTGCTTGTTCACAGAAGAGTCAGTGTTAGGCTGGGACACATGCCTGACTAGGAGAGGGCTGAGTAGTTGGATACAATGCGGGAGTAAAAATTCCTTCCAAGAAAATCAGGACACAATTATGACAATAATGGTAGGCAGGCAAAACAACTGAAATCCACTCCACTTAAGAACTACTTTAAATGTTTCTTCCTTTGCCAGTTAATAGCCAGCAACCCTTGGGCAGATTGCTTACAGTATCTCTGCCTCAGTTGTCATCTCAACAGTAAAAATACCCACTTCAAAGGATAGCTATGAGGATTAAATTAGTAAAAATACACATAACCCATTGAGCACAACCATTGTACATAGAAAGTATTATCTTTTGTTATCTTTTTGGAAAATTTTCTATGATCACCTTGCCAGGTCACTCTGTTATAGTGTCTTATCCCATCTTACGTTTCTCCTTTGAGCACTTCACATAAGTGAACTTCAGAATCATTTGTATGTAAATATACAGAATCATTATGCATGTATTCGTATAATTTTTGTTTATGTATACCTCATTGGCTCTATAAGGGAAGAGGAAATATTCATCTTTTCCAACTTGTACATATTCCCAATGCATAGTGCATAGCAGAGTACAGTAGACTGATAACGGCCCCCAAAGATATCCAGGTCCTAATCCCTGCAACCTGGGAACATTATCTTAAATAATAAAAAGGACTTTGAAAGAATGATTAAGTTGAAGATTTTTCAATAGGGAGATTATCCTGGATTGTCTGAGTGGGCCCTACATGTAATCACGAATGTCTTTATAAGAAGGAAGTAGAGAGAGATTTCATTACAGAAGAAGAGAAGGCAATGTGATGTCAAAAGCAAGAAGTTGGAATGATGTGAGAAAGGAATCACAAGCCAAGGAACGCAGGCAGCTTCCAGTAGCTAGAAAAAGACAAGGAAGCCAATTCTCCCCTAGAGCCTCCAAGGAGGAACCAAGCCTGCTGGCAGCTTGAGGTTAGCCTAGTTAAACTGATTCTGAACTTCTGACCTCCAGAACTATGCAGGAATAAATTTGTGTTGCTTTAACCTGATAAGCTTGTAGCAATTTATTACAACAGCCATAAGAAACAAATACACAGGCATGTAAGAAATACTTGCTGAATAAATATGAGACTTTTAAAAATGGCAAAAAGAGGCCAAGCACAGTGGCTTATGCCTATAATCCCAGCACTTTGAGAGGACAAGTCAGGCAGATAGCTGAGTTCAGGAG